CTAATTCCAGCTCTGCCAGCGGGGCCACCTGGCTTAACTATAGTTCAGCCTCCTTATCTGTGACCATGGCGATAACGGTCCCTGCTGTCAGGGTCAGGGCAGAGGCGGGAGGGCAGAGGCGGGAGGACACAGGCACCCGGGTCACAATGCTTAAGGAGGGCCTTGCTCTCTGCAACTTGCAGGTGCAGGGTCACCCTGAGAGCCGCCAGCCTATCACTGGCATTACCCTCACTAAATGAAAAACAGCCTGGTGCAGTTGATAATGTTATTGTCTGCAAGTGAAAGCGAGGGGCCTTGGCTTGGGGAGGGTGCATGACTCCCTCAAGCTCCCACAGCCGGTAGACGCCGGAAAGAGCTGGGACTCGAGCCCAGCCTGCCTTAAGGAAGAACCCATCCCCCGGTTTGAAGGCAGTTCCTTGAGGACCCTGAAGGGCAGTTGAGGAGGAGGCAAGAGGAACGGCACGTCCCTGATGGCCTGGAGCTGAGGTCCTGCCGCACACAGAGAGAAACAGCCTGGGCCTGGGAGGGTGGTGGGTGTTGGGGCTCCGGGGCCTCGTCCCGACATAAATCTCACAAGGTCAGCCCGCACACCGTCTGCCCACCCTGCAGCCACGTGGGTGGCCGGGACCACGCTGCAAGCTCTCCCGGATCGGATTCCATTCTCCTGCTTGCTCTGGCTGCCCCGTCTCAGCCTGGGGTGACAGGTGGGTTCCCCAAGTTCGGAAGGAAATGGGCTGAAACCTCCCTGGCTAGAAGGAGGCCGTGCACCAGCAGCCCCAGGGGCTCCGTGAGGTGTGGGGCAGCTGGGCGCACAGGAAGAGGCGGGCCCCCTGGACCCCTAGTTTAACTGGTCCCCTAAGTCAGGAGCTGGGCTTCTGCTGAGTTAGAGAGCTGGGCAGACCCATCTCGGGGAGCCATGCTCTGAACTCCGAATAAGGAATCAGGTGTGGGAGAGGGTTCCAAGCCATCTCAGTGCGGGGAGGAGCCTTAGCAAAGCAAGTGCAGGAGAGGGGAAGCAGGGAATGTTCTAGAAACTAGAGACGCCTTCCTGAATCTGTGCCCAGCACTGGAGAAACCAGCAGCGAGTGAGGAGTCTGGGCCGGAGGCCCTCACAGCCCTGAGAGGAGCAGCTCCCGCAGCTCCAGAACATCTCCTGAGCAGGAGCTGCGCAGGGAGCCGAATGCACACGCTCGCATTAGTGCGGCACGGCGGGCGCGCGGTTCCGCCCGATAGTTTGGGAAACCGAGGCCAGAGCAGTGCGGGCCAGCACCAGGCGTCCCCGCCACTGTGCCGAGGACCCGGGGTGCCCCAGTCTGGCACCGACTGCCTTTCCCACTGCCTTACAGGTTTGCGAACTTTTTTTTTAAGCAAGAGGAGCGCTCTCTCTCTCTCTCTCTTTCAATTTAGAGAAACCCAGCATGTAAAGCAAATCAAAGTGGAGCTGAAGGGGCCAGAGTGGGGGATGCCAGAGCTCCACCCACCCACGAGTCGGGACAACGTAAGGGCCTTCCCGAGGCCGGAGGACACTCAGGCACAGCTCTGCACGAGCCGCCCACGGGGAGGCTCACGCTCTGGCTGCGCACGGACAGAGTTCGGAGCACGTGGGCTGCACAGCCGGGACAGGGGCCTGCACGGTGCGCCCTGTGAAGCTGCGACTTCAACCCCGTCGTGGGCCCCGGCGGGTGTCTGCTCCGCTCACTTAACACGACCGCAAAGCACCCACTCCAGGCTGAGCGCTGGGCAAGGAGCGCAGGCAACAGTGGTGTGTAACGCCGCACGCCGTCCCCACCGACGCAGAGCCCACGTCCGCAGCTGCGGGCAAACGTGTTCCTAGAGGAAGGTGGATCCCGTGCGGTGGTCGGGGCTATGGAGGAAAAGCTCAAGGTCAAGGGGACTCGTGAGCGGAAGAACCTGATCGGTTCACCTCTGAAAGGGGCGCCGATGAGCACTCCAGGCCACAGAGCGGCTTAGACCCACAGCAAAGGGGATGGCTGGCTCCGAGGGGTGCAGCCAAGGTCCAGGTACAGGCGGGGGGTGGGGAGGTGGGCAGTGCTGGCTCACCCTGCTCCCCAGGAGTTCCCTAGTCAGGTAAGACACACTACGTTGTCCCTAGGGCCAGCAGGAGGTAGCTGGTCCTATAGAATCTTTACGTTACTCAATCCCGAAAGGGACAAAGAAAATCTAAGGGTTGGATTACTGCAAAAGTAGGACTCGGTCGGTGCAATGAATAATGAATAAGCGAAAACAATTAAAACCAGACGTCATTAAGCAAATGTGATATGTCCACAAAGCGCCTAATCTAAATCCACCCAGGGCTGGTCTATACATTAGAAAGATCTTTTCCGCGCCCTGCTCCGGGCCTGGCCCGGCTCCCACGGCCATTCATTTAGCCAGCATTGAGCAAACACCTGGGCTGGGCAGCGCACCAGCTTCCGGCGCACGCCTGACGCAGAGCCAGGGCTGTGTGGACACCGGGTGCCCTCTGTGGGGCGGGGGCACAGGATCGCGTCCTGCCACCGGCCGTGGCCAGCGCCCCGGGCCTCAGCTACAGACAACTCCGGCCTGCCGCCGGTCGGAGACAGGCCAGGTCCCCCGCGCGGGTTCCCATGAAGCACAGTCCGAGCCGTGTGGCCTTCAGTGTCCGGGGTTCTGCGAGGAGCGGGGGGGCTGTCCCGCCCCGCCCGCCGGCTGGTTTCTCTGCAGGGCCCGGCACCCCTTTCCCCTGCCCAGCCCCGCTCTCCTGCTCACTCAGCTTAGGTGCCGCCTCCCCAGCAGCCCTGCGCCGGCCCCCGGCCCCACACCTCCCTGCAGTGTGTGGTCCAGGTGGTTCTGTGTCCTCTGTCTGTGCCCCCACCCCAATGCGCGTGTCTGGACGGAGGACTTGTGCCTCATTCGCCCGTGTGCCCAGTGAGGAGTGTGCGACCGGGGAGGTAATGAACAGACCCCGAGCCAGCGACTGTGAGCAAACACGCAGAAGACACCACCTTCACGCTCGTGAACTCGGACAGCCGTCGATCCGTCCCCTCTCTCCATCTCTCGTCCTCTCTCCCTCATACACACACCCACCCACGCACACACACGCCTTTGCACACACACTCTCTCTGACTCATGTTCTCACACTCACCCTTCCTGCGGCGTCACGCCTCCCGGTGCTCTCTCCCCGCTCTGGCACTCACTGCCTGGAGTGCACAGACCCACCGCGCTCAGCTGAATCCCAGGGGCGTCTGCCCCTTGGCCCTGCCTTGGGGCGGCCTGGGCACCCGCTTGGGACCCAGGCCCGCCTCAGCCCCCGACCGCTCCCTCACATCTGGCCACTGCAGCACACTCCGTACAGGGGCCCCCGTCTCAGCGGCCCGGACCCTGGCGACAGGGCCAGGGGAGGAGGGGGCAGACAGGCAGGAGGTACGGACACGTTTTACACACGAGGAAGCGCAGGCACAGGGAGGCAGGGGCTTGCCCAGGGAGCAGGGCCGGAGATGAGGTCCAGGTTTCCTAACTCCGGCCCCAGCTCCTTCTGCTGCACTTCCGGGAAGCAGAGGCTGGCGCAGGGTGCTGCGCGTCACCCCCACCCGAGATCCTGAGGTCGCAGTGCCGGCTGTATGGGACAGGGACCCTCAGTTCGTCTGCGAGGACTGAGTAGCAGGACTTTGTGAGGTCTCCTGAGCCCTCCGCACTCTCCTCCGCCCCTCGGTCCAGCATGCTCGGGGCCTCCGATAATTCTGCCGGGCAGCCGACCCTCAGCCGACCCTCAGCCGACCCTCAGCCTTGGGCACTCAGTCCACCTGGGCTTCCTGGAGGAGGAGTGGCCCATTTCAGAAGAGCATCGGGACAGGACAGGAGTGACAAAAGGGCCTGAGACAGGAGATAAGCAAAACCTCACCATCGCCACCACCCACATCTGCCTTTCAACCTGCTGCAGGCCAGACCCGTGCGTGGGGCAGCTGGGCAGCTGGCCACACTCAACCAGCCCTCTCCGCTAGCCTTTAGGCTTTCAAGTCCTGCCCAAGCTCTGCGGGCCTCCCTCCTTCCCCCATCCCCTGCCTGCTGCTGCCAGTGCCTCCCCCCGCCCAGCCTTGCATCCCGAACCAGGGCGTGAATATTTAAAAAGACATTTTTTTTCAGCCAGTGAAGCCACATCACGCTGCTGCCACCCCCTTTCAACATGATCTTCAGAAAGTTTGCCAGAGTGTCTCCGAGCGCCTCGCCCTCCCTGGTCAGAGGGGCAGATGGGGTTGCAGAGGCAGCGGCGGCCCCCGAGGTGCAGCCTCCCCTCTGCCCCCGGGGCCGAGTCGCAGGCACGCAGTCCCGGCTTCAGTCCACAGCCACCCCTTCTGGGCCGCCGGGCACTTAGCCTGGCAACCTGCCTGCCACCCTGGTTCTTAGAGAAGTGGGGGAGACAGACACCAGCACAGGCAGGAGGCGCGGAGGGACAGGGATCCCCGGAGGCAGAAGCTGGACTGCAGCCCCAGAGACGCAGCACTCTCTCAGGACCAGGAACCGGCAAGAGAGAGCTCCCGGCACGTCAGTACCGGAGCCCACGGACCACGGGGGGGTGGCCACGGCTCCTGCCGCCTCCTGCTGGCCCCTCCAGCGTCTCTGCTCCGCAGTTACTCACAGCCCACCGCACCTGATCCCTTTCATCAATAACACACAACACTCCAAGGATAACTTCTTGAAACTCTACTCACGGCTAAGCAGCACACAGGGCTCTGGGAAGGGTTCTCTTCCCTGCCCGCCTGTCACCCATCGGCCACACGCCACCAAAGCCGTTTCCGAAGTCCCAGGCAATCAGAGCCAGCTGAGCTCCCTGGCTGGGTGCCCGCCTGCTCCGAGCCAGGACCCAGGGTGTCAGCAACCCCGAGTCTCAGCCACCGGCTTCTCCCAGCCTCCTCCGAGACCCGAGCACACACCGGAATGGCCACGCTTGCCACGCCGAGGCTCCCCGAGCAGCCAGATCACATCAAGACAAAAAAAACGAAGGTCAAGGCCAGGCTTCCTACCTTTGCTGAGGGTCCCGGTGATGAGCTTAAAGATGGTCTGGGCAAATTTCACGAACCCGAGCTTGCATCTTTTGGAGCAGCCGCTCATGGTGGTGGCAGAGGGGAGGCGGGCTCTGCTGTCCGTGCCCAGAAGGGAAGGCTTCCGCGGCGCGTGCCCCCGGAGCCCGCAGCCTGCCTGGGCGAACCCCGAGACAGGGACGCACCCCAGAATCTCCCGGAACAGTGCAGCTGCCTCTGCAGTGAGTCCGGCTTCTGCATCCAGAGAGCCTGCCCGGCACGACGTCGGCTCCCTTCCTCCGTCCTTTCCTCCTCCACTCAGGTCCGACCCACAGGAGGGCCTCGGGGTGCCAGGGTTCAGGCAGCGCTGCCCGGCACGGGGCGCGCCGAGGGCACCGAGGAGGAGAGTGAAACGGAGCAGAGCGGGGAGGGAGGAGCTGGCGCGCTCCCAGGCTTTGCTGACTGTCTTTCTTGCATGGCAGTGGTAATGTAGCAATTAATACTCCAGTCAGAAGGGAGGGGACTGCTACGCAAAACACTCCGCTCCGCAGCTTCCCCGCCTGCTCTCCTGCCCTTTCCTCGCCGGTTAATCTAACCGATCAATTTTCCGTGCCTCTCTCGGGATCCGGGGGAACTCCCCGCAGAGCAGGAAGCTGCTGCTGGGCACTCAGTGGAAAGTTTTCGAGCAGCCTCCAGGGGCCTGGTTCAGTCACAGGGAGGTTGGACGGAGGGGGCAGCACCCGCCCACAGCGGGGGCTTTCTCCCGCCTCTTCTGACCGCCTCCTCGGGCTCCAGCTCCAGGTGTTCCGTGTGACCTGGAGTCAGCTGCTGCGCTCCAGCTGCGCGGTCCCTGCGGAGCGGGCGGGAGTCTGTGCGCTCTCACCAGGGTGGGAGAGGAGGGTGATCCGGGCGTTTCTTGATGAAGGAAGGAGTCCTCGGCAACGCCAACGGAATGCCCAGCACCCACACCGTCTGCCGGCAGGACAATCCTCCCAGAAGCAGAAGTGCGAGGCAGTGTGCAGGCGCAGAGCCCAGCTGCGGCTTCACAGACAGTCCGGCTGCCGTTCGGCACCACAGACTGTGGTCTGTGTCCCCAGGGACCCCCGAGACCTCTCATCCCTCCTCGACCCGGGCCACTGCTGTCCTTGGGGCTCAAACGGTCCTCACGGGCCCTCAGCCCGAGCACCGGCGGCCTGTGCACTGTGGCTGCACGGGGACAGCAGCCACAAAACATGCCCTGGGAAGGTCTTTCTCTTCCTCCCCGTCAGCTTGTCTGTGTCACCGCTTCTCTGGGCTGTTTGAGAGGGTGGGGTGCTTAAGAGCCAGAGAATGGCAGACGGGGTGGGCAGGGTGGGGGGCTGCCCATTGATAAACACCGGAGGAGCTGGAACTCGTGCTCCAGGCCTCCTGGTTCCTCCCCCAGCTGCCATGAGGTAGGAGGACGTGCACCTTGAAATAAACCTCCCCTTGGGGTGGTCACCATCCAATTACAGCTCCCGGAACAGACCCCGGAGACAGGCTCCAAGCACAGAGCCCTTCTCCCAGCCCCACAGGGGCCGGGGCTCCTTGACGTACCAGCACAGCACGCGTCACAGCGCACCCAGAGGGAAGGAGCCGGGCAGAAAATACCCAGCGGGTTCGAGGTCTTGGGTGTGGACACTGCCACGTGACTCGCTCGCTGCCTTGAAGCATCGGAGGCCCCAGTTAAGAGGCACGTGGTGTCTGGGGCTGTACATGGCACTCAGTCTGTCACCCGGTGGTGGCTGCCACCAGTTCAACACCACCAGGAGTCCCCCGTTCGCCACCAGGAGCCCTTCCTGGTGGGTGTTTTCTTCCTTGGGCTGGACAGTCTTTGGGTCAGGCGCTCACACATCCGATATTTACCAAGCTCCCGGTCCGCAGAGAGGAGGCCAGCAGGCGGGGTGCGGGAAGCACCGAGCACCAGGATGTAGAACATGCCGCCAACTAGACAGATGCGGTCGATGCCCTCTTGGCCCGCAGAGTGGACGGGGCTTATCATCCCACACCAAGCCCTCGTGGCCGCTCCATGTATCCAATGACCTCTGTTCCCCTTGCAGCGTCTCAGTGGGCAGGCAGGTGTTCAGAAGCAGAAGGAAAGAACTGGGTCACGGAACACCACTTGGCAGGCAAGGACCAGGCAAAGGGCAGCACCGCCCCGACGCCGGGGAGGAAGAGAAAGGTGAGGGAGGGAAGGTTTGGCAGAGGCGGAGGATGCCGTCTCCCCTGACTGTTCCACCAAAGAGAGGCTGCCCTCTGAACGAGAGAACCCAGTTGGCAGGACCCGGAGCTCTCGCGAGGCTCAGCCACGTCTCTCTCCCATCGCACGTGAGAGAGAGGGACACACGGAGAACCGGCAAGCTCGGAGGGACGGCGGCTGTGACGTCAGTGGTGTTAGCTGACCCCGAACCGGGTCTTCTGCCTGGAAACCCGGCCAGGAGTCCCACTGGAGGCGTGGCTCCCAGGAGGCCGTCAGCAGCACCTCTGTGGGGCGGACAGGCAAGGTCTGGGGGGGATCCGCATGGGGCCCCCGGCTCAGGAGTCCGGAATCCCAACATCTGAGCCGCTGGGGGGACAGGAACGGTGGCGCCTGTTGCTTCAGGGGTCCCTTTGCACCAAGTGTTGAGTCACTCGCTTGTTCAGCCTACACCTGTGTAATAAACACGCCATCGCCGTGGCCTCCGCCGCAGGTGCCGAGCACGTGGTGGCAGACAAAGCAACGTCCTCGGGCCCGTGGCGCTCACTCCAATCGGAGCGCGGTCACATCGACGACTGTGTCCACGGACAGGGCTGTGCTGTGAAGGAAAAGAAAGCCAAGTGATGGACAGTGGCCGGGGCCCCTACTTCACAGGGCCATCGAGGAGGGTTTCTCTCCATGAAAATGACACTGCAGCGGAGACCCCAAACCAGCCCTCCAGCTCTCGGGGGTGGTCACTGTTCGGGTGGAGGGAACGGCAAGTGCCAAGGCCAAAGGCAGACCTGGGATTCCAAGGTCTGCAATTAGCAGCTGTTGAGTGAGCAAGGAAGCCTCGGCTTTTTTTCTTCTGAAAAATGGGGATGATAACCCTTACCTCACAGGATTTGGGAAGGTTTAAATGAAATCACCAGGCTTAGTATTGGTGGCAGAGGTCATGACCGCTGCTCCTCCTGCAGCCCTGGTGGGTGGCGCTGCCACCCCTGCCTCTGTCCCCCACAACAACCCCACATGCAAGCAGCGGCCGTGTGGACAACGCTTCGGCATCACTGGAAGTCACGGCGCTGAGCCACAGTGTGTAATCTCCCTTAGTAGTAACTCGGACGTTAGGCATCGCCCACGCCCCTCTGACCTCAGCAAAAAAAGGTACCAAGCGTTTGCACTCGGTCTCAGATAAACGACTCAGGCCCAGAGAGGGTCGGCCGCAGCCAGAACATCACAGAGCGAAATCCCCAGAAATGTGGGCAAGGTGTTGGGTGTGCCAAGGACATTCTCGGCAAAGGAGGGCAAGGTGCACCAGCGTTAAATCCGTGCTAGGGGAACTCGGGGGGAGAACCGTTCTCTGCTCGAGGCTCAGGCGACTGCACAGGAAGAGCAAGAGAGGCCGCCGCGTGCTAACGGCATGGTCAGGCGGCAACCAAGGGGAAGATCAGGCCGTTAGCAGCTTCGCAATTAGCCTCCCTGTCACAGATGCACAGCAGCCAGAGGGGCCTGGGAAGGCAGTGCTCTCCCCCCACCTGGAGCCATCTATCGGCATCTTTAGCTGCCAGATCCCGGGGAGGGAGAGGCAGGCGGGGGCTCCAGATGGCCTCTGGGCCCAGGAGGGTGCAGTGGCCTCTCTGAGCACGAGGCCAGGAGAGGATGAGCGTGCTGTCCTCGGGAAGGTTGAAAGGCTGCCCTTGAAATGGGAACGACGGCAGCAGAACCCACTGGGTGCCTTCTCTGGGCAGGTCTGACCTGCAATGCCTACTTTCCATGCACCTAGTCCTCATGCTAACCCTACAGAGGCAGGTCCTGTTGTGTTACCTGTCTACGGAGGAGGAGGCAGGCCCGGAGAGAGACAGTAGTGGCTTGTAGATGGCCACGCCGCTGAGGCGGAATTTGCATCCATAACCATTTGACGCTTGACTTTAAAATCATGGGAACTTAGTTTGTAACTCACAGGGTTTGAAATTCAAGCAGCTGGCAGCATGAAGGAGAAAGGGTTTGGCTTGAAAGTGCAAGAAACAGGCAGCTGCATGTTACGGCTATAACCTCCCTGTCCCTGGAAGTGTCGTGGAGAGAGCATGGAGACATTCGTTCTGGCAGGAGCTCCCTCCCTGGCCATGGGGAGGGGGGTGGAGGGGGAGGGAGGGGGGGAGGGGGATTGAGGGGGGAGGGAGGGGGAGGGGCATGGCCAGGCACAGGTTTGGTCACCACAGCCAGCAGACGCGAGCCCACCGGCCACTGAACAGAGAATCACGTGTAAAGCCTTGTCCAGCAGGTACTGGAAGACGCAGAAGGGCTAAAAGGGGCGCTGAAGACATAGAGGCCATGACCGCAGGGGCGGCTCCGCGCTTGGGTGTGTGGGGGGCGGGGAAGAGACAAAGGAAAGAACTGGAATCTTCAGAACCGTCAGTCCTGCAGGGGGGCCCCCCCTGCAAGGCTAAGACTCTGAGGAGGAGGTGCTGGCTGGCTCGTGCTGGCCTCAGTCCTCTGTGAGGCGCAGCCACAATGCTGATACTGGGAGTTTAAAAATTCATAGCAGACACCGGAACCAACTGCCTGGGCAGGCACCTCCTGCCAGCGGCGGGGCAGAGAGTGTGGGGGTCTGACACCAGCAGGAAGCTGCCTGGAACAAGGCCCGCTCCCCCACCCCCCGCCGCCCACGTGCCTGCAACCCTTCTCCCTCCCCCCTGGTGGAACAGGGCCTGCTCCCCCTGGCCCCGCCCTGCCGCCCACGTGCCTGCCACCCCCCTCCCTCCCCCCAGGCAGGCCGTCTGGGGGCGGCTGGCAAGGCAGCAACGCGGCTCACAGAGTCCCGGCCCAGCATCACGGAGCAAGGCGCGGAAGGACACCTTCTGAGCTGGGGGTCAGTAGCCTAACCACCAGCCCAGTCCAGGTGTGTCCCCTCCTGAAATGACAGAGCCCCGCTATGTGCTAGGCACTGGGGACAGGCCAGTAAATGAGACAAAATCCCTTGCAGAAACTGCGTTTAAGAGGCAGGGTCGGGTTGCGGTGCTCAGGCCATAAATAAGCACACAGATCTCGAGGGGGAGGATTTCAGAGCGTGAAGCTACTCGGAGGCAGACGGCGTCCTGCGGGAGTTTTCTAATCAGCGGGACAGCGCCCCCGCAGAGCACACCAGGCAGCTGAAAACAGGACCGCCAGTAAGGGGAAAAGGGCAGATTCCATGACGGGCTAGGGGAGGGTCAGGATGGCCATAAACATAATGACTGTGACGTGTTAAATACCGTTACCAAATGCTGTTCTGGGTGCTGTGTGTGGACTAGCCCGCTCTTATAGCAAACTCATGGGGTTGGTACAACTGTTCATTAAACCCACTTTACAGACGAGGACGTGGAGGCTTAGTGAGATTCGGTGACTCGCCCCGGGGGCAGTGGTCAGACAGACCAAAGGGGGTTTGAGGGAAGTCCAGGGGTGGAAGGGAGTCAGAAGCCC